ATTCTCGCAGAGTTTGGGATATCACTAATCAGCAATCATTCATTTCAGAAAGTGTACACAAGCAAGCATGTCTTGACTCTGTCTTTCAAGGTCACGCGCGGTTGCGTGATGTTGATGCATGAAAACGGCGTTTGCCGCGAGAGTTATGAATGGCCCACTCCAATTTTTCACAGATGGTTAGGAACATTGTGACGGACATAATATGTAAAAATTACCCGAATCGAAGGTGACGTGTTTTTTGCTATTTAAATTTTTCTGTTTTAATTCAAGGTCAAATGCATTTCAAGGTTACTTCAATTTAATTTTATAATTAAAAATCAAAGCCTTATCAATTGCCTACAAGACCCTGTTAATATCATTTTGATACCAGAAAAGGAACCAGAGTTATAGACATTTAAAAAATTGATGTGTGGTATTTTTGGCTATATTCGATGACCTATATCTCAGCGATACTTTATCAAATTTCGAAAATATTATACGTAACTCAGTTTTGAACCATGCCCAGTCTGCCTACAAATTTTCAGAAAAATCGAAGGGGATGACGGATTTCGGTGTTTGATTTGACGTGGAATGCCCCAGGAGCATTCAGAGGGAAATGAAACTTGCAGGATCTAGTATCCATTACGAGTCTCACAACTTGTATATCTCGGATTTTTCCTAAAGGTCATATGAGGTCAGGTCATTTTCGTGACCTCACCATTATAAGTCAATGAGGAAAAATAAAAACTGCTATTCTGGCGCCGGGAACGATCTCCAACTATCTCAAGCACACAGAATCGTGATTTGATGCACTCCATGCAAGGAAAGATGCGTCACTTTTGCAATGTTGACCTTACGTGACATCATTTATGACGTCATCAAGGTCATATTAGTTTTTCGTCAATAACTCCCGATCAAATTGAGCTAGCGAGACGGGAAAGCCACCAATGGACTCAGAAAGACCTGCCGAATCGAATGATATGCGACATGACCTCTTTCGACCATCTTCGTGACCTGGGGGCGCTGACCTGACCGTGACCTGAGGTCAACACCCTAAGTTGACCTGACCCAAACAATAAGTATATCATTCGACGCGCCTGAGCGAGTCCAACACGATGCTGCCAAAATCGCGGCTCTGCGGCCGTTTTTTGCGAAGTTTTTCACCAAAAACTGAACCGTACCTTGGGGCACTTGACCTGACCTCAGAGGTCACCGGTTGACCTAGGACCTTAAAATCGGGTACCAATCTCTGCGTCTCGTAACGGCGCACACGCTCGTTTTTTCCACGATGCGCTAGCTCCACCAGGGGCGAAACGGCGGGGGGGTCGTACCCGCCCCCGCCCCCCTCGGCCGGCGCATATGTAGAAAACCAATAGGTCCGGCGAGGGTTAAGTTTGACTTCAGAGGTGATCTATTTAGCTGTTGTTTTATTTCAAATACATAATACTCTAATTACCTACATACCATCAACCTAGCTGAGCAGTGGCCAAAGTTTGCGGCATCGTGTTCGGTGCATTTTTTCATTCTGGCCGGAGGATCTAAAATAAAATTACGGCAGCGACGTACAATTTAGCCCTCCAAACACAGATTGTATCGCTGTTGTTTTGTTAAAACCAAGGCTCTACAGCAGCTTCCATTTTGAACCAACTTGTCATGTGACTTGAGCTTTGAAAATGGCAGAGGGCTGGCTCTGCACACATGGCGCGTTAAATTCTAGGCAAGCACACTAAAGGCCACCACCAATCCTTTTAGTGAAGTTCGAAGACACTGCGTATCTTCAACTCAACCTCCCGAGGACACTGTTAATCCACATGCGAAACGCTTCGATTTTTCGCCTCCCGGTTTTCTAGTGCCCAGCAACATGCAAACGACCTGTCTCTCACTGACCTTACCAGTATCCTGCAGTATGTTTTACATCTCATGAATTCTCTTGCCGCTAACAGCATTCAGATATGTCGCCGAGTGAGTCTTGCCTTCTAAAAATAGCGGACCAAACATCCTCAGCCACGACTTCACCGAGATCAGTTCAGGGGCAGCCCGCAGCAGGGGTTCGTAGTTCGTACGTCACGAGCTGTCTATGATCTTGCTAAAAATAGAACAGGAACTCCTTCACTATGCATGACCTCTGGTAGCGAACCCTTGTATATTTTATTCAAACCAGTCATGGGTCATTGAGAGGCTGTGAAATCACCCGATCAGACCCTGTCACTCGCGGATATGGCCTGGTGACATTTTGCGGTGTTTATTTATAAAGGAAGGCTGGACGGCCTTATCATCACAGTCGGCAACTTTGTAATCGGTGCCGGGTGCACTGAGAGCTAAGGATGTATGTAATTATATGAGATTGACTCCAGCAAGCTGACGCTAACTTTAGTTCATTTTTCGTAAGTTCGACCGTCACTGAACAGTTGAACACATCTCTCTAAAGACAGCACGATATTTGTTAGGTGAACGTATAGATTTTGTTTGAAGAAAAAAAAAACTGGCTGGCGTACACCACATTTTACATGTGATTAGCTTAATCAAAGTCATTAGTATTTTTCCCCCATTTCCCCCCATTCACATCTCGCATTTAATCATATTTACAACCTCACACCGATACTCGACTTGTTCAGAATTATTACAATGAACTCATCCATTAATCGCACGGCTTTTATAGCACCTCGGTACTTTATCGGTGCTCAAATCATTTGTTCCGTAGTGTTTAACTAAGTAGTAAGTAGTGTTCCGAGGTGTTCAACGCCGTGCGCTTGATACATGAATTCATAATATTTTACGCATCACCTAGCATTGAAAATATAGCAACACACGAAATGCAAGTGAAGGAAATAAGAGCCACTTGAAAAGAAAAACTTTTAGCAAGTCGATCCCCTGTGAAATGCAATGTGCGCTGACCAGTTTTTTCAAGAAACTCACAAAAAGCGATCTTCAATTCAAAAGTTCAAAGAGCCATTTACAGTGAGGGGCGAGCTTTAAAATAAAGATGGACTGTAAGTAATCACATTCGATTTTGTTTTTACCCGACTCTGGGTTCCATCGCACACTCCACCAATCAATGAAAAACCAAAGACCGGCCCACTAAAGACCTCAAGTAGAACGGGATAATTAGGACTAGCAGACTCCGGCACACCTGAGCTCTAAATCATATATCAATAGCTAACGGCATACGACAGTGGAAGGTAATTAAAAAAGCTCCTACAGTTCATTACATCAAGCGATGATGCCTAACGACAACGTTAAAATCGTGCACCAAGTATACTTGTCCATTATACAAATCTCTCTTATTTCACCAGAGTATGTGAAAAACTCTCTGGTCTCTCCGTACTCGCAGATGTCGCCACCAGTCTGCCCTCGCATTACTATGGTCTGCTGGAGCAGCAATAATCTCTCTGTCGAACTAGATAGATGTCGCCCTGCGCTGGACCTCCCCAATGGTGCTTAGCTTGCCTAGGATGAGGGGCTAGCTTACTTCATGCCACGCTAACGGCTAAACTATCATGAACTTTCAAAAATTTCGTTACAAATTAGCTCAGTGACTTCTTGGCATGATGAATAAACCATAACATCACATAAGACATTGTCATTAACCCGCGCCCTGATGGGGGGGGGGGGCCATTTTGGCCCCCCCTGTGGTTTTTCTTAAATAGCGAGAAAACGGCGGCGCGCAGCGCCGCCAAATTTTGGGTACCTTACCGGGCATCAATTTGACACCTTCACACAAAATTTCAAGTCACAGGTCACCTCAGGTCAGGAGTTATTGAGGTCAAACTGAGGTCATGTTCGAGCAAAAATGAGCAAAAAACATGACATTTTGAAACGCTCACCAATTCTACAGTTAACAAGCAATTTTAAAGTTCTTTATGTGGTTGTGTAGAGAAAAGACGGCGCTACAAAACTGCTATCTCGGATTTTCGAAATTTTGGGATTTTGACCCCCAAAAATCAAAAAAAATTGATTTTTTTAGAAAAACTCAAAAAATTTCCAAAAAAAAAATCGAATTTCGATAAAAACGGAATATATGTGATAGTCCCTGCGCTCTTCGATATACATACCAAATTTTAGATCGATACCTCTTTTTTTGGCCAAGTTATAGCGAAAAAACTGTTAAAAATTGATGACGTCAAATTTTTGAACTCAATTTTTAGCAATTCTAGACCTCGTAGCGCAAAACGGAGACCACCATTGAACTCCCCGTGACGAGCTGCATCGAATCGATACCCATTTTATGCAAAAATATCAACTTTGAAATTTGACCTAATTTGACCTGACCTTGACCTGACCTTGACCTGACCTTGACCAAAACGTGACCTAAGCTGGCCCTAAAGTCTGTCTGACCCACATAATCGCATTTGTCATGTAAAATGAACCATAAAACATGTATCACACGACACTTTCATATTGTGACCCCCCAGTGACCTGACCTCTGTGACCTGACCTGGTATCAGTGACCTCAAATAGCAAAATATGTGTTTGAAGAACATTTCTCCATCGATGATTTTCAATGAAATGCATTTTACTCGATTTTACAACGCATTTCTTGAAATGCCTGTAAACGGTGAAAATTCAACCTTTGACCTGACCTGTGACGTCATCGGTTTGACCGAGGTCAATGAAATTGGGTCAAAAGGTAGTTCCCCGCTGGGGCTATCCAACACCGTTTACCGCTTGTCGCTATGTTGCGTGGTTCTCGAGATCTGAGGGGGGGGGCCAAAATGGCCCCCCCTATCAGACCGCGTTGCTCGGCAGACCCCATCTGGGCGCGGGTTAATAACATTAATAACAAATGAGGGCTGTCCTGGTCTTCTCATTCAGTTCCGTGAAGACGGCAATAACGCCGAAAAGGAATAACGGATAAGGGAAGCATGAGGTAATAATATTGACACCTTGAAATGGAGAGACATGGATGATGCTATGCGAGCTTAGCTTTAAAGTTTCGGTGCAACCCACCATTTAAATGCGGTCAATACGTGTTTGAACGTTTCTTATGCAAATCTGATCAAATATAACAACACAGTCGCACACGAGATTTTATACTTATATTTTGCTTTTTCAAGAAGGACGCTGGATATGCTTAAAGATGTTTTAGCGTCGAAACCCAACACAACATACATTATGCTTGCAACATTTAGGGCCAAAAATATATTTTATTCGCCCATGGAGTAATATTCGCGGCGGAACAAATACATAAATATTGATTTATCATTTCCTTCAAATATTCTACCAATAAAATATCTAACATGTTACAGCAAACATCAATATATGGTACAACGCCATCTAGTTTAAACCAAATCAATGGCGTGCGATCTTGTCAGATTTAGGAGAGAAACGTCAATGCATTGAAAAGAACCGCACTCATAAATATAGGAACATGTAATATTTATATTGAACTAATTTCTTTATGTCTACAACCGATAAGCTGTAACGAGTTACGTCAATGAGTGCCGTTCTTTTCTACGCATTGAAATGGAGTCTCTGTACCAAACTGTATAAGCAAATAACTACATGTCCGACTAGCATTTCGCTTATAGTAAAGCTTGTGCTTAGTGTTTCCACTGTCTCTAATCTGATGGTCCTCTCGCCCGCTTGTTTGTTTAACTTTACGTACAATACTGGAAACAGGACCTAGATATATGCCATACGAATCGGCACGCAGCTATATACTGCGTATCACATTCAAATTTATCATCTTTGCTAGTTCTCGTTCATCGGCATGTCTTCGTTCTTCCGGCGAGCCGAGAAGAAGTGGATAAATCACCTTGACTATGCGTGCGATCACAGGAACCGCTGGCAGCGGTATAATCTTCTGAGATCAGTAGACCCGAATAGAATAGCAGCAGTCACACGATAGGATTAAATTCTACCCTACCGATACCAGAAGATCACCAGAAGATCACCATCCCACTGCGCGGGCAATTCTACCGCTTTCAGAAGACCAACTTCTCCGCCTCGCTGGCTACCACACCGCCTCTCCTACCATTTTCTGTCGTCTCGGTCGGCGTCTACCGTTTTCAGTAGCTGCGCCCGGTGCCGTAGAGTGAGTTGATCCAGCTGCGACGCACAGCCTCCAGACGACCTGCCCTCAGGCCGTTTTCATCGACCTGCTCCGGCACACTGGGGCGCTCCAGTTCGAATCCGCCCTGAAAATGAATGAATAAGAGGTGAGCATTTAGGGGATTCACACGGGTTTTTAATGGTTCAGGCATAATTCATTAACGGTACAACATATACAATGCATATGTGAATATGCGCAGATGGGCCAGATTTTAAATATTTTTATTCATTATTACGGAAGAGTAAGGTATAAGGGATTCGAAGATATGACAGAAAAAAAGGTTAGGTAAGCTGCTCAATCTTGTGTAGGATTATAATTTGTAACTATTGTTCGTTCAGTTCCATTGGACGAACCAGATCCAGTTCAACAAGATCATAGACGGTGATTCTCGTTTTCAATCACCCCATGATGGATATCATCCCAGGGTTGAGTATCACCTAGGTCACAATTAACCCCCTCGTTACCCTGCTTCACAGCGCGGCAGCCGGCCCGTGACGACCCGTTTGTACAATAATGTGATTGGGCGCGTGTTTGCGAGATTTGCCGTCATGTCTTTCTTTCTCAGATGGGGACCCTGATCCTGGAATAACACGTGTGTGGATAGGGCCTGTGCCGCATATAAATAAACAAGCAAAACGTAACAGCCGTAACGGTAGCGGTAACTCGGGTGACCCCTGAATATATCCCCGAATGAAACCCTTCTAGCTCGCCGTTCACCAGCGGAACTAATTCTAGCCCTCCCCGCATCCCCTCCCCTCTCCCGACGAACGGGACGGGACCTCCCCGGTGGATCTCCAAAACTCCGTCACGGTGTTTGGACACGGCATGTCAACGCACATCGGCCGTCCGGACCAGTCCATTGCGGGACAGAGGGGAGGTCACTACCGAGATGGACTCGTCCAAGAAGGAATTTCGTGATTTCCGTCGTTCTTTTAAGGTTTGATACAACAAAGACGATTATGTGGAAGCATCCTTTCACTATTATGATATGAAGTGTCATGCTGAACAGCAAAACATATGAAAATACCGGTCATTTCTAAAATTCCCACGCGCGTTTCCTCCCCTCTGTGTTCGTTTGGACTGGTCCGGCGGCGCGTGTGGTCGCCCCTGTGACAGGCGGCGGTGGGTTCCACACCGGACCACCCACGTAGTACCGCGGCGGGCGGCGGCGGCCACCCTGGAGACCGCCCCCGCCCCCGCCGCCGCCGCCGCCCAGGCGCGGTGTAATCAATTAACCGCATCACTGAGAGCGGTATACTGACGGTGGGCGAAACAGCGGCGGCAGAGGAGGCGGGCGGGTGATCTTTGGGTGGTCGGCTGACACGCCCTGTGCGGGACCTGCGTGCGGTCCCCTGCGGTGGTCCCCCGCGGACCCGGTGGTCCAATGTTGGTTTCTTGGTGGTCCAATAGTGGTCCCGTGGTGGTCCGGTGGCAGGGCGTGGGAGGTCTGTGTGGTCTACCTGGGCGGGCCGCCAGTGACCCCCGGTGGTCGCCCCTCTGAGGTGTCCCCCGTGTGTGTGTGACATACACCTTCGTGGTGGGCCGGGAAGTAACCCACGTTGGCAGGGGGAAGGGTAATTAAGGTGACCGTAAACTGGCAGCCAATGTAAACATAGGGGAAAGTTAACGGTCCTGTTATTAATCGGTTATAAGGCTTCGATCTCTGATATAATATCTTAATGAGAGGATGTTTTGATACAAAGTAACTTCTTTCGATCCTGATGAGCTATGGATAAAATCATTTCCAGACGCCGGTCGGCAATGTTTTGCTATATCAGCTGCTACAGAGGATAAAATCGCTGCATCGGCACAACCATAAAAGGAATCAAAACATAAATAACAATGTGTGCTGCATGAAAACACGTAGTATACATAGGCTTTTGGTTAGCCCTTTGATAAATATTTTTCGATTTTATTCGGGCTTGACTATACAGCACACACTCCTTTGCAAGACAAAAGGTTACGGCTTTACCTGAGCGGTTCGAAGCTGCTGGTAACGCATTGATAGCAAGAAAAAATGTGAATTTAGACTGAAGACACAAAAAACCATAACGGCAACACAAAGCCAAATTGATTGTCTGTAGTACCTTGTTAAATATTCGTGATGAAACGCCAAGTCACAGAGATTTTAAAAGGTCGAGGGGTCAGGGAGGGCATTACAATCGATTTCGACTGACCATTATATTTTATCGAATAAAATAGTATCAAGTTCACTGGTCAAATGGACAAAACAGCCGACTGAAGAAAAAAATCAAAACAGCGGATGAAACAAAGCAACTCAACCATCCAATGAGGGAGATCGTCCGATAAAAAGGCGATCTCGAAAGATGTTACCTACCGACAGCCCACTGACCTCAAAGTTCGCCTGGCTGCCGTCGACGCCGGCGGTGGCGCTAGTGTCGTCCTCCAGTTTGAAGTGCGCCACGGCCGCCTCGGACTGCGGCGCGTTCACCACGTTGACCCGCTGTTTCTGGGAGAGGTAGCCGGGTGCCGAGACCGTGACCTCATACTCTCCGGGCGTCAGCAGCCGGTAGTAGTCGCCGTCACGGACTGAATGTCACAGAAAGGTCACAGAAGGGCAGGGCATATTTTAACATACTGACTGCGTCCCATTTTGGGACGCAGCCCCCTGCCTTTGGGACGTAGCCCTCGCGAAATTTGGACCACTGCGTCCCACACTGAAATGCCACGGTTTCAGCCGCAAAGTGCGAGCAAAAATAAGTAACATGCCTCAGTCTTTTACTGTGTAAAAGATGTTGGCTTTCCGATTGCTTTGTGCCCTGATTTACTATGTACCTAAGCACATACATGCCCTCTCCAGTCCTTGTGCCCTGCCCTACCCTTGGTCATACACCTTATTATGTTCTTCCCTACTATACCCCTAGGATATGTGCCCTGCCCAGTGCCCTGTCCTTAGGTCTTTTACCTTGCCCTGCCCTTTCTTCAGGCCCTGTGCCCTGCTCTGCATTCAGGCCCTGTGCCCCGCTCTGCCCTGCCCTCAAACACGATACTTTATACATTCTGCCTGGAAATTTGATGCGCTGCCTTCCCGTCTTTTGGCCCCGTGCCCTGCCCTACCCTAGTTTGGGCCCCTGCCCTTCTCTGCCCTCAAGCCTTGTGACACGTCCTACTATCAGACCCCGTGCCGCTGCCTTGTCTTCAGGTACTGTGCCCTGCCCTGCCATCAGGCCTTGTGCCTTCCCATGTCCTCATGCCCCGGCCCCGCGCCCATCCTCGAGCCTAATGCCTTGCCCTGCCTCAGGCCCTGCCCTGTCATGTTCTGCTTCCAGGCCTCATGTGCATTGCCCTGCCCTTAGACCCTGTGCCCTATTCTGCCATTAAGCCTTATGCGTTGTATCGCCCTCAGGCCCGTGCCCTGCCTCGCCCTAAGTTGCTGTGCTCTGCTCTGTCGTCAGGCCTTGTGCCGTCCCATGCCATCAGACCCTGTGTCCTACTCTGCCCTCAAGCCCTGTATTCTGCATTGCCCTAAGGTCTCGTGTCCCATGCCCGCTCTCAGGCGCTGTGCCCTGCCGTGTCATCAGGCCCTGTGGTGTCTCCCGCCCTCAGATCCCGTGCCGTTTCCAGTCCTCATGCCCCGTGCCCTTACCTGTCCTCAGAACCTGTGCTTTGTTCTGCCTTTATGCCCTGAGCCTTGCCCTGCCCTCAGGCCCCATACCCTGGCCCTGTTTCACCGGTGATAGCAGCACGCTGCTATTACACGTGTCAAATTGGGTTTCCATGGAGACATCAACAGGCCCATTGCTCAAACACTACCACAAGTATGACGTCAGCTCGCGGAATTTGATAGCAGCGTCCGTGAAACACCGCCCACGTCTTGTCATACCTTCGGGGCCCGAAGGTATGACAAGACGTGCGCGGTGTTTCGGGTCTTGTGCCATACCTCTGTCTTATGTCTTGCTCTACCTTTAGGTACTATTTCTTGCCCTGCTCTAAGATCCTGCGTGTTGCCCTGCCATCAGGTGTGTTGACCATCAGGTGTTCTAAGGCCCTGTGTCTTGCACTACTCTCCGGCCTTGTGTAATGATAGCCTCAGACCCGCGCCTTGCCTTGCCCTCGGACCCTGCATCCTACCCAGCCCTCAAGTATCCGTCTTATCTTAGCTTCATGGCCTGTGCCTGCCCTGTCCTTAGGGCTCAGACTCTGTGTCCTGCCCTTCCCTAAAGTCCTGTTTAGAGATGTCAAGCTGGAGCCCGCAGGCCCGGAGCCTGGCCCAAAATCCGGCCCTACAGGGCTATTGCATGCACAGTGGATTGTATCATTGTTTTGAGGTACCTCATCGAAACGCATCGACTGATATGCGACATGATCTATCTTGGTCACGAAATGACCTTAATGTGAGGTCAAGTTCTGACCTTGACATTTCGAGGTAAAAATGAGAGAAGAACGATCGTGCAAACGAAAATTCTCTACATTTTTTAGTTCAAAAGCTTTTCATGAAACCTATATTGACAAAATTGTAATTTTACCCGTTTTTGGCTATGGAGCCTTAACCGTTGATCTGAACTTAATTTTGACGAAATATTGACGAAAGAGCTGTTCAAGATATATCGATTGCTTTTCTCCTATCGATTGCGCCCTCCTAGCTATCATAGTTTTTGAGATGCATGCACGTTTTCCGAAAAAAAGTATCGCATCATTGCGAAGTTTGACATTTGATGGCATACGGTCAGATCAGGGCCGTCATGGCCGTCTGGCCATAGGAGGATATAGAGGGGGCCACGGGGCCATGCTCCTCCCCCCCCCAAAGCGCCCGGAAATGGCACAAAATCGACACATTTCTGGGCATAATAATTAAACAAAGGAACTTCCATTGGGAAAAGTTTGGGTTGTATTACATGATATGCAGTAAGGAAGCGAAATCCGAAGCATCCAATTCCAGAGCATCCGTTCATCCAAAGCATTAATCTATGATGGATTTTTTATGTAGCTTTAAAATCCGATGATTTCTTGTCACAACTTAGGTGGGTACTGTTTGACCTTACGTCATCTAATTATTTCAAACACATGGTATCTTCAATGCAAATTGGCAATGTTTCACACGTCAATTTCTATTTTGAATCGATTGATAAGGGTGTAAAACGCATGAAGAGGCGTATGTATCAATCATGTGCATATTCATTTTTATTCTCTAAGCATAGGTACAATTTGGTGCGTCATGGGAGGTCAAACACGCCCAACGCCGTTCAGGAAAACGAGTGACTAACAACAATGTAAATGTCATTATATCGCCGGTCCGCCTTTTGAATGCGGATAAAGAACGCACTACGACTGGGCGAATTTCGAGACTGGCAAAAGCAATCACAGCCCGCTCCCAATATCCCGCTTGCAGTGCCCCTCCACCAGCACAGTACACAATGTATCTGTACATTATCTCACTTGCATTATATACTATTTCGCTTGCAATGTGCCCTTTCCGATCAAAGCGTGTGCCCTATGCCACCTTTGGGACGCAGTGAAAAATCCTTAAAATATGCCCTGCAGAAGGGTCATCGAAAGTTATGTGAGGTGACCTAAGGTCACACGAGGTGACCAGGGATGTCTTCTGAGTCCACAGAAGGTTACACATGCACAAAGTCAGCACATGCTAGAGAATGTCATGAGCAAATAACGGCATCTCACAGGAGGATATCATGAGGGTTTGCAGAGGCCACGACAAGTCAACAGGTCAGGTAAAGGGTAACTGAAAAAAACGCATCGGGTTATACAGTGGTCCTAATCTAACATTATACTAGCCTAAAAATTATCATGTAGCTCCCTGCAGCTTCATATGATTAGGTTACTGCTGCAGAGCGTAGCAACATGAGACACAATAAGTCAGACAAGATAATATTGCCTCAAAATGCTAATAAGCAATAGTTCATTGTCATGGTACTTACATGTGGTGACGTCATGGTTGATGTCGTGGTTTCGGCTCATGGTATCGTTGATTTGAGTGATGTTCTTGACGTGCACAATGGCGCCGCCAATGGGCCGGTTTTTGGAGTCTGTCACCAGACCCTTTACTCCGGTGTGAACCTGTGGAGGCAGAAGGAGGGCCGATTGAAATTCACGAGCGTAACGGCGATAATTATAAGATTATAAGATAAATTATAAAGATAAATTATAAGATAAATTATAAGATTGAGTTAGGCAGCGGCCGCCGCAGTGCATACCTCTCAATGTTTAATCAGGAGCATTGGATACACGACCCCACACGCGATGAGAAATTTAAACAGGCGGTTATTGCCAAAAATAGCCAAACGTATACTGAATTCCCATGACGTTTTCCGAATCGGGAACAGAATTGGACTCATATCGAGCACTGGCAGATGCTGAACGAATAGTAATGAAGGCTAGTCGGAATTAACATTCCGCGGGGCAAGCTTCGTCGCTAAAATTATGGCTAGCAGTTCGTAATAAAAAGCGACCGCCAAACACATGAACATTCATTTCTATGGACGTAAATTATTGAAGACTCAATGTCGAGTTATGCTTAGTACAACAAAACAATCATTAAATGAACAATCAGTGAAGAAGCGTTTTGAGTGATTCATCGACAAAAAAAAAAATCCAACGAAAAACTCGTCACTCGATATTATGAAGATGATGGCGATCATCAGTCGCTGATGGCGATCACGATCACGATGACAGACCTGCCAGATGAAGTTGATGAGGGCGGGCAGGTTATCCTTCCACTCCTGTTCGAGCACACTCTTCGGGGGGTATTTGTCGCAGCCCAGCTCCAGCGTGATCTCAAAGTCGTTCGACGCCAGGTAGTTGAAGTCCTGCATGCCTGGGGACGACAAGCCAGTTGGATGCTGTTTATTTCAGATTGTGTGGCGAGGTTATGAGTTTTGATATTACGTTTCGTTTATGCAAAAGGGCTGATGGAAGCAGCGACGCCCTGTGATGTGAGCTCATTTCATTGACGAACTAATTTTGGTACAAACAGTGTGAGAATGACCATAAGTTTGATAGATATTCAAACGAGGGCTGACTAGGGCAATATGGTGCTTATTGCAGTTATTTCGGTCACGTGTAACAGAGTTTACAGTTGAAACGGTATTAACTATGAATGCTGGAAATCATCCAGCACTGCATACTAACCCCATTCTTCCTCCCTCCCTCTCCCCTCCCTTCTCCTTCCCTCTCTCCTTATCTCTTCCTCTCCCCAGCACCCACCTCCTGCCACGGTGTACCAGGCGGCTCCGTTGGTGATGCCCCCAGTGCTGGAGAAGTTGTGGGAGCCGACGCAGGCTCGCGTCTTGGGATCTCCCATACGCGCGTGCGACTGGGCGTACGCCAGTGCCAGATGCCTGGGAAGGGAAAGGCAGAGTCAACATGGCGGCGCATGGAATATGACAAGCCAGACACTCGCTTTTCTTGAATTCCGAACCAGGAATGACACTAAAGGATGAAACAGCCATGATACCATGCGTAAAGTTCACAGGCATATCTTGAAAGGTCATGCATTAACGTTTGAAGGGTTTCGACACGTAATGCTTCTCGCCTGAGGATGCTTCATTTAGATTGTCATTATAAATCATGTCGAAAATTTACATTTCGCATAAATGAATGTGCAGAATCCAAACGTCCATGAGTGTCAGCAAATCCGGGATTCGCCTTCCTGCTTTCGAGAAATAAAATAAGAAAAAAAAAACGAGAAGGACGCCGCGTATAAATATAACTGTAAGTACACAAAATATAAAAGAGAATAAAATAAAAGCACTGTTTGAATATACAATCAAATAAAGAAAACCAATAACCAGTACCTCTTACATCATTTACACATACTGCGCGTTACGTAGGTAGGTCGGCCAAAGCTAGCGGAATGTATGGGCGTGATATATCAGACACAGATCCATGGAGCCTTTGATTAAATCTCCGCAATGACACGCTCCATTTGTGAGACAGTTACTCTCCATCAGTGTCTCTCCTGACAGAAAATCCCGCAGAGATTTAGTCCGTCAAGACTGCGGGCAGATCACTCGCATTGTAATGGATTCAAACCATAATTGATAGAACATCCTCTATTGATTGATTCGTTAAGGTGTCCAGAACAGATATTTCGCAAGGGAAGTGTATTGAATAGACCGTTTCGGTTTCGTTGAATGACAGTTTATTTTGTTGTGCAACGCACTTTACGACCTTCCGTGGGTGAAAATACTTGAACGAAATCGTTAAAATGAGGCAATTAGATAAATAAAGCGGCTTGTCTGAAGTTTGGTGGTCTGTTAACCCGCGCGGGGCTGGGGTCTCCAGCCGAACGCGCGGGGCTGGGGGGGGGGTAAATTTTACCCCCCCTGTTATCTCCCGAACTAATGGTCCGATTTGGAAAATTCAAACGCCAATCGAAAGGTCTCATCACGAACTACTAAAAACATGTACTTAATTTAAAGTTTGAGGTCAAGGTCAAGGTCAGGTCAAGGGTACAAATTGCAAGTTTCTATAGTATCGGCCTTGCACCGTAGTTGCCGAAGAATGGAGTCATGGACTGAGACTGATCGCCCAAAACGTGTTCTTAGGCTACCAAGACAATATTAGTTGCATACAATATCATTCAGAGGTCAAGGTCAAGGTCAGGTCAGGTCAGGTCAGGTCACCAAAAAACAAAATATAGAAAAGGGCATGTGCGACACATGTTTTATGGGTCATTTTACTCATAGAATTCAATAGGCACACTCAATAAGTGATATGGACCACCTCTGGATGAATTTCAGGTCGAGGTCAGGTCAAGGTCAGGTCAAGTGAGGTCAAATTTTGAAGTTGGTTGTTAAGGCCTAAAAAGGTGTCTATCTGATGCAGTTTTTCACGGCGAATCGAATGGTGCTATTTTTGTTTCCGTACGAGGTCTAGAACTTCCAAAAAAGTCATTTTTCAAAAATTTTGTGTGTCGTGACGTCATAAAATTTTGAATAACTCCCACATTTTTGAACCGATTCTTCTAAAATTTGGTATGTAGGTGCACATAGACCACTTCTCTGACATATATTCCGGTTTTTACGATAGACTGAAAATTTTGGATTTTATAATGATTTTCTCCAAAAAATCAGTTTTTTGAAAAAATTTAGGCCAAAATCCAAAATTTTCAAAAAACCGAGATAGCCATTTGATAGACAAAGTAAAATTACGTATATCCTTTTTTGTTAGGTCTTGATTCCTTTAAAAATGAAGATGTTAGCGGCGTTTGAACTTTTGCCGTTTTTGAGGCGAAAATGGCGAACATGACGTCACTAAAACGTCAATTTCTCAAAAATTTTCTGACGGATTTCGCTCAAATTTTCAGGGAAGGTGTCAAATTGATGTAAAAAAAGGTACTGAAAGTTTGGCGGCGCTGCGCGACGCCGTTTTTGAGATATCGTAAAAATTCGCGAGGGGGGGTAAAATTTACCCCCCCCCCCAGCCCCGCGCGGGTTAAATAAGACACGAATCAAATTCTCCCCAGAATGGGTAGTAAGTGCCAACAACTGACATTTTCAGTCGTAACGTTAGGATCATTAAAGGGACCCTCCCACCTTAACATTAGTTTTGAGTTGAGATAGCCAAGTTTGCGGCCAGGCTCAGAAACCACCATTTATCCTGGTCGCAACCCCCGCAGCTTTATGGTGTTCAAGAAATTTCTTCCCTTTACTTGCAGGGTGGGACCAGCGTGGTCCCTATCTCTTAACCATTACGGGAGTCTGATGACGTCATCAGGCTTTCGAACGTCCGTTAAATGTTTGACTAAAACGTTTTGTAGCACGCGGTGGTATATGCTGCTTTGCGCGCAACAAATGCCGCACTTTCAAATAAAGTCGCTAGGAACAGCGAAGATCCCAAAAAGTAAACAAAAGTAAACGTCTAATATCTTGAAAACCGGTGAATATTTTTCGATGAAATTTGGTAGATATTCGTTTTTCCTCTTTCTGAACCGAGCGACATCACTTTCATGCCAATTCATTAACTTTTTTGAAGGTGGGAGGGTCCCTTTAATGTCAAAATCTGAAATTCAATGTCGCACAAATGTTACATGGTAGCAAACTGCAACTAAACCCCACATTAGAGCTCTGCTCCCACACGCAGTCGTTACATTAGGCTTGACCTTTCACGCAGACACCGAACTTCCCCGAAAGCCGAAGTGAACAAGGCGCTCGTTAAGCTAACATTACAGAGCACATAAACTTGTTGGCTGGTAAATTCGTCAGCATGCTGCGTATACGTTAAAGACGTTATGACGTTATTAATTTCATATACCTAAGTTATAACATTTTATACTAACAGCTTTCACTATATTTCAATAGCACCCCCAGGATGCCACGAATACTATTATGTGAAATGAAAGCAATGTCTATGGGTTCCTATTTCGAATTAACTGTAACCGCAGGTTGTTTCTTCATTAGACAAACACTATTCGTTAGAATTGTATTTTTCTATTGAAAAACAGCCGGAGCAGTCCTTCACCGGGCTATGTTTTAGCGGTGGTGTCCCACTCACCTGAAGGTGTTATCGTCGGGCGATTTGGAGTAGTCGGTGGGCGATCCTGTCCTGGACTCGTCGTACGGATAGTTAGCCACCAAATCCCCGCCGTGCATGTTGGCGGATAGGACGAACGGCTGGTCCACGATGTACCGCATCAGGGCCATCGTCTCCGGCTGGGGCTGCGCACAAAAAGAAGAATGAAAAGGGGTGAGTGGGTAGAGCAAGATGGCGGACGTCACGTCACGATACAGAGGGTGATGATGTTCACGAAGGTTTTATTTTCAATGCTGTGTCAGTCAATGAAAAAATGCGCCAGCTACCACATGTTGATCGAAATGTATGATGTTTGGCACCAAGAAGTACCAAGAAGACCTTGAAAGAGTAATTTGGCAAAAAAGCGGTGAAATCGAAGTTTACATAGTCGGGAAAATCACCGACTCACATCAGTCATACTTTGCAAAAAGGCCCACATTCCGCGAGAAAACGATGTAGCGAATGCAGCCTTCTCAAAGTTCACCTTATGACCAACTATCAACGGCTTCAATCAGGAAGTTTTACCAAGTGCAGATGGGATTCATAATTAACCAGCCTCAAAATATCCCTTTGAAACTTTCATTTCCGCCGAAAGGCAATCATCTCAGGCGTCATATTCCCGGTCATTTTCAATGAGTAGCGGCGCCGTCTCAGCTCTCAAGCCTTGACAGTATTTTGACGGGTAAATCATGATCATGCCTCAAACTCGGCAGCACGATGGCAAACTTGACCGGGCTCTCCCAATTTAGCAGCTATGTAAACTTCGAGGCGATTTCCGAGTTCGAGCGACGCAGATATCTCTTCGCCGAAGTAATCTTCCAGGATGGGACCAGTTTTGGACATATTTGCATGGACATGAATTGATTTGATTACATGTCGATATTGGTCACGTTGAGTGCATGCATCTATGCAATTATTCATGGGAACTCTTATACTGACAGGAGCTCAATTTCGGCGGCCATCAATGAAACGAACGCTAAAATAGATAAATAAATAAATAAATAAATAAATAAATAAATAAATAAATAAATAAATAAATAAACAAACAAATAAATAAATAAATAAATGTGGAAAATGCCTGCAAAACAACTCTCGTCACTAGTCATCAATCATGTAATGCATGCGGTTATCAGTTTAGGGTAAAATCAACATAAAACGGCTCAGCAACGCATCCAAAATACATAAAGCACATCACTCAATGATAAGCGCATCCAAAATCGCGAGCACTTGCATCGCACCGCTGAGCGCAAACGTCAACCACGGCCACGAAGAGAAATCTAATTCCATTTCAGATCAAATAACGCCCCAGATCCTTCTCACGCTATCAGCAAATTCAATCTCTCCGTGAAATCATCAGTTCACCGACCGATTTAACGGATGACTGCACTATTTCATCGTGAGATTTGCTTCACTTCCAGCGATAAGACGCGGACGAAAGTTTGATGGGTTCAGGTGAAGGGCAGAGGTGAATTCAATAAGCAGTAGCGACTCAGCTACTTCAGAATTTGATGGGTTGCTGATCCCTTACGTCCATAAATCGGAGTGGAAACCGATTAAGTCCGAAAAGCGTCAGTGAGAGACATAAAATATTTTACTGCCCCAACGTTAAATAGTCGCATTGTTTCTGTGTGTCGGAACTTAAAAACAGACAAATCATCGAAAGCCAAATAATGGTTTTCCAACGGACAAAATCACGTTAAACTTGTCTTTTACCAGGGTGTCGCTGTTTTGAGAATCCGCACCCTTAGTCCCATTATGGGCTGAAAGCTACATCTCTTAGGACCAGCTGAGCTCCATTTGCAGTATCCACTGTTCGTGTTCTTGCTCATTGTTGCATAACATTCTCAAAGCAACAGCGACGCATTATGGGCTTCGTTGACGCCAGAAGCCCCACAAGCGGAAAGTCTCGTGTGTCTTTCATAAAATCCTTACCGCTTCACTCCCATCACAAATACTATAAATTCAGTATGTGAGGCAAGGTGAAGTCCACATTTACCTAATTATCGCAAACAATGATGACGGCGAATGAAGTTAATGTGTAGCGCAGAGGCGACCGTTATAGTCTGAGGGCCGGGCTAAGATGTCGCAACCAGCGGAGCCGGGGAATTACTTGACACATAATGCTGGTAGCAATTTCGGCTGGCAGGTCAGGAATTGGTGATGTGGGAAAGGCTGAGAGGACTAAAGGTATCGAGCTCAGATTTTACCGTATACCGCAAGAAATGATCGAATCATAAAAAGAAAAACACGCAATTAATATTAATTCATTGCTCACTGTGGTAATAAATAAAAAGAGTAACCAACAACTGAGCAGCAAAACTGACGAAATGAGGTCAAATAAACGCAACAAAGGGCACTCTCCGCGAAGCCCCAAGCTTCTACTATTCCCCGCGTCACCAAACTCCTCTTTTCAGCGTCCTGCCTCACCAGATGATCGAGTCCCGTCACGAGATCCATCAGATGATTGTTGGCTCCGATCTGATGCTCCTGTAGACGGTACGCCAGCCGGTCCAGGTCCGGGAAGTCTCGGTTCAGATCCACACGGTTGGCGTTGGCCCGACCGGTCACATAGCCGCGGTGCTCCTGGAGAAAGACATCGTGTTCGTGAATAGGGGATTGTGGAATGATGCAAGGAAATATGTGGAAAGTGGAAAAGCGTGTTTGCGTAGGGTATTTCCTTTTTCCAGATATTCCGATGGGGAATCTGCAATAACAAGAATACTCGTCAAAGTATCGAAATCAATGCATCCCGGCGAATCAATAAGGGATAACTCATAAACAGCGTAATAAAAAACTTTTTACGGACATTACAATTACGCTACACTCAGCGTTATTAGACACAATTAAACTAACTGATATAAAAGAGGCTCGTATATTGCCCAAACTGACAATTCTCGACGGCCTCAGCTGCAAACATCTCATAACTGTAAAAATCAATGTCCATCCTACAACATAGCATGCAGTTACTCGGCCACTTCTTGTGAGAGCAAGAGTCAATGCCTCACATAAGTTCACATCACATAAACTTTTCAACTGAAAGAGCAAGCCTTCTAAGTCAGTAAACTTTTCAAAACTTTGTTCAGGAGCAGCCCAGCAACCACTAGAACTTTCTGTTCTCTCTTGAGACGAGAGCACTTGACTTTGAACAAGTCGCCACGGAGTCGTATGGCACAGCGACCGTGGTTTTGTGATACTAAAGAACCGGATACTGAGAACCTTAAAAGCACGCTGAGCGAAATTTGAACAAACCCATGGTCTATAGAGCCTGATACTGAAAAGACTGTCTTTTGCTAATTCTTAAACCAATGACAGCTTGTTTCTGGGATCACTTAGGCCCATATCACTTAACACTTAGGCACATTTATCACTTGGATGGATCACTATCCAATCACTTAAAATCCTTATTAGATCACTTAGATCAGATCACTCAGGCACACTAGAAATCCAATAGAGGGACCTAAAGCATGCATTAAACCCTTATAGTACTGCTGCCAGGACTGCTGAAGACTTGCGCAGCTGAAGGGCTCGGAACTCTTCTTACCGATATCTATTAGCAGTGGGCACCCAAAACCTGTCCAATGTCCCTTTGAGACTCCGTGGGCCTCGTGACTGAGCTTACCGATCTGGTTGCGATGTCCCATCCGTCTGGGTTCATGGTCGGCATCAGATGGATACGAGTTCTGGCTAGTAGACGAATGACCTGAGGGAGAGAGAGAGAGAGAGAGAGAGAGAGAGAGAGAGAGAGAGAGAGAGAGAGAGAGAGAGAGAGAGAGAGAGAGAGAGAGAGAGAGAGAGAGAGAGTCAGTAGAGGTTACCAAAACTCCGAGACATGTGACATTCTAACTAATGAATACGGGTCTGACTGTGGCCATCTTATCATTAATTTATTTTTACGTCTGAGGTAAGCAGCTGCAGGACATTATGAGAAAACTCCCTAAAAACTATTGGCCCTGGTGCCGCTTTTGGAACACTGTCGTTTTATTAGACGGAAACAATGTGAAACTCGCACAATATTACTGGCATAAGATTGGGCAATTCTTCGCCGCTAAATATGTCTCTTTGGGGAATGAATACCAAGCACTGGTATGAAAGATTATCATACCTACGCAACACAATATCATACACTGTTGTTGCGTCGTTACACTGGTCCAAGAAGCTCATCAAGTGTCCCCCCCCCCTCCCCCTCCCCTCCGTACTCAAATGTCACCACTCGCGTTCAAACGCGCCTGCCGCCGGTGAGACACTGTGCGTCGATTTTGCAACCATAGGACCGCAGCTGCCTCATGGTCGCCCTTATCGGGTCATTATTTTCGGTCACCCTCATCGAACCCAGCGATACACACAACTGTCATGGCAACGAAGGACTGGTTCGTGACAAAATAGAGACGGTATTATTGGTAATTACTGTTTGGAAGCAGAATGTACCGTGCCTTTTCGGTTATACCTCCCGGTGTGTTCTATCACTGGCTACATCGCTTTCATTTAATCAACCTAATTTTGAACTAACTTAATTGAGTGTAGCCTTTGAGAGAGTTAAGGAATATAGATATAGAAGTAGGCACTGGGCAGTTCTCAGATAGCTACGCGTCTTTCGTTTTTTTTTTCGGCTAGATGCTGAATGGCTGAAGGAAACTAAGTGTAATCTGCCATATCCCTCGGCCAGCAAAGATAATGATCATGAAATAAGAGCCGGCGCAAATTACGGCTTCTAGGATTACGTCAAATTACCAACGGGTCGGCGTTAGTGTACCCCTGACGTCATTGGATCTATTTCCACCCTGTCTGTGGTCAAAAGACAGTCTATCGAACGAGATGGCGACTCCAGCGCCCCTTAGGCCGTGAGGAAGAGATCAACGCAACGTAAATGAACCAAACGCTTCGGACCAAGCGCAAGGCCACACGTCCTAAACCATCAAAATCAACAGAGGAGTTATTATTACCGATACGCGACTGCAAGCACCGATTTTCATTTTCTACGGTAGCCGCCCTAAGAGTCCCCGTCAAGGCTCTGGTTCTCCCGGTGTTTACCTCGGGGTTATCCTTGCGATATTCCTCGCAGAGATAGTCGGCTAGTTTGAGCAGCAGCTCACGGCCCAGCACCTCGTTACCGTGCATGTTGGCGATGTACCGAAACTCCGGAACCACTGCGAATAAAATACAGAATGTCATACAGCGTGTTTGTAATGGAAAGAGGGCAGATGTGACTATCATATTACTTCAACAATTCAGCATACGATTAGATTACGAAGCAAATGCGTCTAACGCATTCTTCATAAAGCGACCCGGGGCTGCACAGAGGCCGATGAAGATGAGTGATTAGAAATATTTGGTTCCGTGCACTGTCGAAATGAGCGGACTCGAAGACGCATGCGATAAGAAAGTTATTTCATTGAAGTACTCTCAATAACCAACGCACGGGAGAGCGTACGAAAACACGAGCTTCATAACAACGCTTGGCGAAAAAAGCAAGCTTTAAGAAGACAAAATATTTACATTTTAAACATTTAAAATTCTGAATGTTAGCCAGATAAAAGAAAAGGCAACAAAAATAAATATACCTTGGATTGAACTTTGATTGGTTCTCGTCATGAAAATAAAAGGCTCTGAATGGACATAAAGCGAAGCGTAAAACTTTCTAGAAATCGACGACAATGCTCTAAACTCACAACCGTTTTCTGGGCTCGCTACTCACGGGGTGTATGCTTGGACGGCTGTTTTCCAAGGACGATGACCGCCAGCGGCACGCCTCGAACTGACGTCTCCGACAGCTCGTACACATCGGAGATGTCCGGACATCGCGAGTGCACGTCCTCCAGGATCTCCAGCAGTTCGGTGTTGTCGTGGTGCCGGAAGACGAACGTCTCGCCGGGGCTGACGGCGGCGGCGGCGATGGCGGCCAGCGCGGTGACGACGCGGAGCTGAGCCATCGCGCCGCCCGTCCACCGGCGGCTGCAAACTGGACCGTATGGCGCGCGGACGGCCGTCGCCGCCGCCGCCGCCGACGCGTCGTTTCTGTCGCGCATCGGCTGTGACGTCACAAATCAATGCCGTTGCCATGGTAACGCCTGGAGAGGCCACCCACGCACCGGTAAGGCCAGGGTGGTTTTGTTTGAACGAGGCAGGGCTCAGGGTCAGGTCCGTCGGCAACAGGTATCGCTCGCAACACCGGCCGTTCCATGCTCGTCCCTGGCTCGTCCTGTGCAGGCGGCGCGGCCCCCACTGACGTCACGTGGCGATGACAATGAGTTTACACGGGGTGGTTTGGGTATCCTATATCACATCCCTCGCCAAACATGCGTGAGGCAATAATCGCCCCAGTGGGGAATCACTTGCATGCAAAGGGAGACAGCCGAGATCATCAGAGAGAAAACAGAGGGGAAATGCATGACACGAAATACGACTCAGGTATGGTGTTGATAGCTTACCTAGGCGTTATGTCGGCTCACCGAGGAGTGGACGAATAATGGCACGGGTATTCAGCAACTAAAAATTACTTACCACCGAGTTTAAAATGAGTTGCATTGTCCAGGTCCTCGTTCTATAACAATACCATTCACGGGTATATAACTTCGAACAAAAAATGTCTAACATTACAATAAACATGCCTCTCGCCTCTCGGTTATAGCCAAGAAATCTTTAACCGTTCCAAAATGAAATCAACCAACAGTAATTCCCAATAGAATAGGTGTATGGGACGTTCACAAACAAAGCAAAGAGTCTACTACACCTTTTATAAAGTCACGAGGTACGAGAACCCAAAGATTGATGGTACGCATGCATTCATTCGCAATTTCCTGAGTCATTAACGTCAGGAAGTCAATTCATTACGGGGTCATCAATATAAAGTTTGGCATTAGATCATTCTCATAATCATTATTCATTACCCTTTAGCGTTCCTACCAAGCACACAGCGCAAGGGTAGCAAGATGCAGCCTCGAATGACTCCTCGCTCCAAAAGCGCAACGAAGCGCAACGAAGTCCAAGCATTTTCGATGGGTACGGGAAACAACGAATTAGCATCTGATAGACCCTTCTCTGCTAATTTGTTGTTTTGAAATGAATGAGAGAATGAGAACAGCTCAGCAGCTAGGTCAGAGCCCTTCATTTATGTATTTATTTATTTATTTATATATCTATTCATCGCAAAATATTTCCCTTCTGTATCTTGGCTGCATATGGCGTGGTTGAGTCATGCGCTGGTTGAGCGCCGAGTTACACACAAAGCGGCGTTGAAGTCGCCATGGTAAGCCAGTCTGTCCCGCCGAACAGGGGCGCACCGCGGCACAGTCTACCTTTCAGGCGTTCACTTTCGGCTGAAGGCACCGCTGCATTGCAAGGATTGCGGGGCCGGGGACGAGAGTCAAGTTTTATGAAAAAAGGCAACGTAAAATTGGCCAAGACCAACTTCGATGTGTCATCTCATTTCTTTTAGTTACAGAACACGGATAGCAGGGCAGAAGAGAGAGCGGCCGCCGCTCAGATGCGATATCCGAGTCACATTCGTGCAAAGTGTTGATTTTCTAATAATTTGTTTCCATTTTACGCTTGATCTACACAACTAAAAGGCGCTTACGACATAAGTGCGAAGTGTTACTCAATCAGGCAGGATGGTCATCAAAATAATCTTAATATCAACTAAACGAAACGAGCAACGAAATTACGCATTCGGTGCTTATTTCCATCTTACATAACACCAAAGTTACCTCTCCTTAAGCTTCCTCTGATTTAATTACACCCGAAGCATTCATCTCTCATTAGTCATTGATTGGGTTAATCGAAACCACATTTCCTGAAAGAACGCCATACGCTACTAAGAAATCGTTAATTGCATCAACAGAAACCTCGTTTTTTCCATCATCAACGAAAAGGCAACCTTGCATGGGTCGCAAATGTGATCAGTGACCTTTAAAAAGACGATATATCAGAGCATTGGAAATGCCACCCAAACCGACATAACACCAGGAAATACATTGAATTACCGCTTGCTCGGATCGCACGAAGGGCGGACGTTTATGAAAAAGTGCTAGACCTAGGAAATGGATACGTCGCCCCACACCAATCTCTTCAGCCTACATAACCGCAGGTTGTTTGAAAAGACAAACACTGTTCGTTAGAATTGTGTTTTTCTATTGAAAAACAACCGGAGCAGTCGTTCACCGGGCTATGTTTTCCATACTTGGCAGCGAATCAGTACAACTTGATACCAGCCAAAACTACTGCAACGATTTTCGTAAAAATCTCAGGGTATAGACTTTCGAAGATGATCTAGCTGATGGCATCGGTCACTGCTCGCTCAGAATTCTTTTGCGCGTGGCGCGAGCGTTTGAATTTTCGCCCATGTAAAGTCAATAGGGGCTTGGGACACTTTTTGCGCGATAGCGAATGGCGGAAAAACGAGTCAAGGAAGGGTTGGTTTACTTCCCAGCATTTTATGGCAAACACGTTCCGGTACACGCCCGTGTGCGCCGTATACGCGCCAGAATCTCGGATCACCTCTTTGCACAAGGTCAAAGTTGGAATTTTGCTGTGTCCCATGTTAACCCGCGCCCTGGTGGGGGCCATTTTGGCCCCCCTGTGGTTTTCTTTAATAGCGAGAAAACGGCGGCGCGCAGCGCCGCCAAATTTTGGGTTCCTTACCGATCATCAATTTGACACCTTCACACAAAATTTCAAGTCACAGGTCACCTCAGGTCAGGAGTTATTGAGGTCAAACTGAGGTCATGCTCGAGTAAAAATGAGCAAAAAACATGACATCTTGAAACGCTCACCAATTCTACATTTAACAAGCAATTTTAAAGTTCTTTATGTGGTTGTGTAGAGAAAATACGGCGCTACAAAACTGCGATCTCGTATTTTCGAAATTTTGGGATTTGGCCCCCAAAAATAAAAAAATAAAAACTCAAAAAATTTCCTTTTTTTCGAATTTCGAAAAACCGTAATGTTAGTGATAGTCCCTGCGCTCTTCGATATACATACGAAATTTTAGATCGATAGCTCTTTTTTTGGCCAAGTTATAGCGAAAAAACTGTTAAAAATTGATGACGTCAAAATTTTGAACTCAATTTTTAGCAATTCTAGACCTCGTAGCGCAAAACGGAGACCACCGTTGAACGCCCCGTGACGAGCTGCATCGAATCGATACCCATTTTATGCAAAAATATCAACTTTGAAATTTGACCTAATTTGACCTGACCTTGACCTGACCTTGACCTGACCTTGACCTGACCTTGACCTGACCTTGACCTGACCTTGACCTGACCTTGACCTGACCTTGACCTGACCTTGACCAAAACGTGACCTAAGCTGGCCCAAAAGTCTGCCTGACCCACATTATCGCATTTGTCATGTAAAATGGACCATAAAACATGTATCACACGACACTTTCATATTGCGACCCCCCCCAGTGACCTGACCTCTGTGACCTGACCTGGTATCAGTGACCTCAAATAGCAAAATATGTGTTTGAAGAACATTTCCCCATCGATGATTTTCAATGAAATGCATTTAACTCGATTTTACAACGCATTTCTTGAAATGCCTTTAAACGATGAAAATTCGACCTTTGACCTGACCTGTGACGTCATCGGTTTGACCGAGGTCAATGAAATTGGGTCACAAGGTAGTTCCCCGTTGGGGCTATCCAACGCCGTTTACCGCTTGTCGCTATGTTGCGTGGTTCTCGAGATCTTAGGGGGGGGGGGCAAAATGCCCCCCATCAGACCGCGTTTAAACCTGGTATTTGACCTGACCTGTGACGGTGACCTGTGACGGGTGACGCCCGTTCCCTGAACGCGGCGTCACCCGGCAGCCGCGCGTTTCGGCCGGCCATGCAACCCACCAAATAAGGCTGACCCGAGCGACACGAGGCGGCGCGCGGCGCAGAAGGGAGGGGCGCTCACACAGCTGGGAGGGACCGGGACGGTCCACTGACCTGACTCGCGCCCTCCGTCAGCGCCGGCAGTGCCGTCACCAGCGCGTTGCTGTCGTCACCGTCATCACCCCGCACTGAAAACAATTTAACCTAAGGCCGGCGAGTAAACCGGTGTTTCACGGGTACGCCTATCCGCAACCATTTTTAACCACCCTCCCAAGAGTAGGGCTAGGTCCCATTGCGGTGTACCTAGTCGTACTTGCTCTGAGGGGATATAACCGCTGTCAGCGAACATGTCCGCTGAGAGCAGGGACGACTACACTGCAATCGGACCTTACTGTACTCTTGGGAGGGTGGTTAAAAATGGTTGCGGATAGGGGTACCCGCGAAACACCGGTTTACTCGCCGGCCTTGGGTTAAATTGTTTTCAGTGCGTGCTGTCATCACCGCTCCGTCATGCGTCATCTCCCTGTCATCGCGGTGCGTCAACGCCGCCGCAGTCTGTGACCGGCGCTCGTGAGCCCACCTCAGACACCTCCCTCGCCTACACTCAGCGCTTTAAAAAATGTGAAAACGGCCGTACTGTGTCTCAGGGTTCCACACTTCACTTTGCGAGCACGTATAACATAACGAGTCCACTTCAATGCGTACCAAAATACTCTATATAGTTGCTCGCTTTCTATCTTTTTTCTACTTTATCTCTGTCGACTATCACCCTCTCCTTATAAGAGTTTCGTGCGCGAGACGTTTCACGATGATGTTAACCCGCGCCGGGCCGGTGCTCTAAGATTCCGCGCCGGGCCGGGGGGGGGGTGTTTGAACACCCCCTTCTAACTCGGCTCCTGGGCCACGTAGCGACACGCGGTAAGCGGCAATCGAAAGAACGTCCAAAATAAGGACGAAAACACTTCGGTCATTTTTTGGGTCAGGTCAAAGGTCAGGTCACCAGAGGTCACCAAAGGTAAAACGTTGACTATTTCAACATTTTGGAAACTGCCAACGACTATCTCGGGAACCGATAGAGCTACAGCGCCGCGGAAAAGCGCATTCCATAGCCCTTTTACAGACCTTTCTGGGTAATGTTCTCAGATTTGACCTCAGGTCAACGGTTTAGCCTCCAGAGGGCAAAAACTCCAAAAATAGCCATTTTTACGAGAAGTGTTTTTTCGGCAATAACTTTTGACTCAAAAGAGACATGTCATTACTTTTGCCAGCATCGTGTTCCTCTCGTCGAGACGCGTCGAATGAACTATAATTTGACCTTGAAAGGTCAACTTGAAAATTTGACCTCAGGTCAAGGTCATTACCTGACCGGAAAAGGTCATGTTGCATATCAGTCGATCCGCAACGTCGAGCCAAACACATCTAAGGCGTTTTCAGCGCTCTAGCACGTCTCTATCAGAAGTTATTAGCGAAAAACTGTTAGATTCTGTTCGTGACCTGAGATGACCTCGGGGACATAACGAGGGGTCACAGTTGCCATTTTCCGATTCAGTTTGTCAATTTTACCTACATCTCGATGTTTGAGAGTGTCTAGAATAGCGTTCGTGCAAAACAGACGCTTTTCAATTTTCTCCCATTGACTTATAATGGAGAGGTCGCAAAATTGACCTGACCTTAGGTCACCGATATCGAAATTCCGAGAGATACATTTTATAGATACTGTTGCTCTAATGAATCGCTGAAAGTTTCAAGGCAATCGATCAATCGGTGTAGCTAAGAGAGCATTCTTATCTTTTCTGAGGTGAGGTCACTTGGCGTGACCTGGTGACCTGACCTAAGGCGACCTGGGTCTGAAATTTTTTGACAACATGTGCGGAAAAGATGCACGAACAGGTGTGCCAAAAACGGCGGCGCTCCGCGCCGCCGTTTTTGAGATATCTGCGAAAAACCGCAGGGGGGGGTGTTCAAACACCCCCCCGGCCCGGCGCGGGTTAAGAATAAAGCAGGAAGATGATGTCTGAAAGTAATTATTTAATTGTGCATTTTTGTCACATGAAAATATGTCTGCTGATATGCAGCACACACCCATTGTTGTGTTGAACTTATTAGCTTTTAGTAAAACGTGCTTCCTGGAGTGAAAAAACTTGCACATTTTTTTGTGAGAGAGATGTTAACCCTCGCCCGCACATGGGGGGGGGGGGGTTGCCACCCCCCAGGTATAGTTTTTCTGCTCTGCACTCAACATTCTTAGAGCTAGAAGGCTGATTTTTCGCATAGCTGCTCCTCTATCCTTTCTTGATGTTCACTGAAAGTTTCAAGTTCCTGTGGTTTTTGGTTTCGGAGATATGACCTTGTTTTTCAGGTCATGTCATGACCCAAATGACCAATTCTCAACATCTTGCGTTGGCTATGGGCCTTGTGAGCTTTTGACACCTTGATTTCGGCCTTTTTTGCCATTCTTACCTCCCACCTATCGTGGGACATGTTGTTCGACGATGTACAGATGTCAAGGTCAGGGTCAAGGTCAACCTAGGTCATCCAAAATAATTGCGTTTTAGGCAATCTGAATTTACTTTTCGTGATGTTTTTTGACTGCATTTTTGGTAAAAGCTTCTCAGATCATGATTTCATGTACCTAATATGGACACATAAACAATCGGTGCACACATTATACACACAGACACACACAGACATATAAACACATATCATTGACCTTGACCTAACTTGACCTGAAATGACATCAGCAGCAAAAAACTGGTCGGGTAGTGTGACAAAGAGGTTCTAGCTGGCTTGGCACCAGAAAACGGCATCGTCATCGGTATATGTTAAGCAGCGCACTTGATATCCAGCGGTGACCCAAAACAGCAACATTTTTTTAGTTTGACCTGACCTGGAAGGTCAATGACTGACCTGAGAAGGTAAAACTGGGTATCATTGGATTTGTCTCTTCCCAAAGAATCTTTTTTATCGTTACCGCGAAGCTCTATCTCCAACAGGAACGAAATGGCGCAGGGGGGCAACCCCCCCCCCCCCCATGTGCGTTCTAGGATGGGAAAATGGCATGTGCGGGCGAGGGTTAATTGAAACAGATATTAAAGTTCTTTGTAAAAGTACTGCGTTCAGGGGTATCGGCGAGCATGCATGTTGAGTGATGCGTACTTGCTGGACAGACGAGGCGCGAAATGTATTCCAACATCGAACAGCTCTCCGCCTCGCTGACAATTTGGTACTGCCCCGATAGCCATCACACGTCGTTGAACATCGAAACTTGAAACCGCACTGAAGTGTTCTAGGCATGTTCCTCAACTCGCCACCCGATGCTCCCGGATCTGGGCTTTAAAGAGATCCTATAGTGGTCCTGGTGTCTTCTAAAAACATTTCGTACTTTCTGCCTCAACTCCGTCAAGCGATGCTGTGCGTGATCGCCGGAGTGAAACAATGTGATTCTACCGTACTGTTTTAGCAAATAAATTTTATTTTTTGATTCTTAAATTGCCCTTAACAAATGTTAACCACACAGGTCCCAGTAAGAAAACTGTGCAAGCTTAAAAAATTATTCCATCGGTTCTCAAGTTATAAGCATAGGTCATAAATGACCCAACCGGCATTAGAATAGTCACAAATAAGGAGTTATCACGAAAGCCGATTTAGCTCGATACCTTATTGTGTATACTGTATACCGGTCTCAGCCAAACAATGTTAACCCGCGCGGGGCTGGGGGGGGGGTAAATTTTACCCCCCCTCACGAATTTTTGCAATATCTCAAAAACGGCGGCGCGCAGCGCCGCCAAACTTTCAGTACCTTTTCTCACATCAATTTGACACGTTCCCTGAAAATTTGAGCGAAATCCGTCGGAAAATTTTTGAGAAATTGACGTTTTAGTGACGTCATGTTCGTCATTTTCGCCTCAAAAACGGCAAAAGTTCAAACGCCGCTAACATCTTCATTTTTAAAGGAATCAAGACGTAACAAAAAAGGTTATACGTAATGTTACTTTGTCTATCAAATGGCTATCTCGGTTTTTTGAAAATTTTGGATTTTGGCCTAATTTTTTTTCAAAAAACTGACTTTTTTGGGAAAATCATTATAAAATCCAAAATTTTGAGTCTATCAAAAAAAAAAAAACGGAATATATGTCAGAGAAGTGGTCTATGTGCACCTACATACCAAATTTTAGAAGAATCGGTTCAAAAATGTGGGAGTTATTCAAAATTTTATGACGTCACGACACACAAATTTTTTGAAAAATGACTTTTTTGGAAGTTCTAGACCTCGTACGGAAACAAAAACAGCACCATTCGATTCGCCGTGAAAAACTGCATCAGATAGACACCTTTTTAGGCCTTAACAACCAACTTCAAAATTTGACCTCACTTGACCTGACCTTGACCTGACCTCGACCTGAAATTCATCCAGAGGTGGTCCATATCACTTATTGAGTGTGCCTATTGAATTCTATGAGTAAAATGACCCATAAAACATGTGTCGCACATGCCCTTTTCTATATTTTGTTTTTTGGTGACCTGACCTGACCTGACCTGACCTGACCTTGACCTTGACCTCTGAATGATATTGTATGCAACGAATATTGTCTTGGTAGCCTAAGAACACGTTTTGGGCGATCAGTCTCAGTCCATGACTCCATTCTTCGGCAACTACGGTGCAAGGCCGATACTGTAGAAACTTGCAATTTGTACCCTTGACCTGACCTTGACCTTGACCTCAAACTTTAAATTAAGTACATGTTTTTAGTAGTTCGTGATGAGAGCTTTCGATTGGCGTTTGAATTTTCCAAATCGGACCGTTAGTTCGGGAGATAACAGGGGGGGGGGTAAAATTTACCCCCCCCCCCCCAGCCCCGCGCGTTCGGCTGGAGACCCCAGCCCCGCGCGGGTTAAGAGGCACTGCATTGCAATGCTTTGCAACGTCAAATTGGCGGGGCCGTTGATGCCAGTGGCAGGCCTGTGGTGCCCCTGACACTGTCAGGGACACCATAGGCCTGAGAGGCCTGTGGTGTCCCTGGGCCCTGACAAGCCTGAGGTGCCCCTGACATGCTTGTGGAGCCCCTGACAGGTCTGTGGTGCCATTGCTAGGTTTGTGGTGCCCCTGGCAGGCCTGTGGAGCCCCTGGCGGGCCTGTGGTGCTCCTGCTAGGCTGCTGTTGCCCCTGGGTCCTGGCAGGACTGTGGTACCCCTGACAAGCCCGAAGTGCTCCCGACAGGCCCGTGGAGCCCTTACAGGCCCAAGGTGCCCGTACGAGGCTGGTGGTGCCCCTGTGAGGTCGATGGTGCCCCTGGCAGGTCTCTGGTGCCTCTGGCAGGTCTGTGGTGCCCCCTGGCAGACCTGCGGTGCTCTTGCTAAGTCGATGGTGCTCCTACAGGCCTGTGGTGCCCCTAACAAGCCTGTGGTACCCCTGAGAGGCCCGTGGTGCCCCTCGGCCGGCCGAGTCGCCGGCCCGCCCCGGCCCGCCCCGCACAGGCCCGAGTCGCCGCCGGCCCCGCACGACCGGTCGGCTCATGATATCCCAACATCGCAGCACTCGGCCTGTGGTGCCCCTGTCAGGCCTGTGGTGCCCCTGATAGGTCGGTGGTGCCCCCGGGCCCCAAGGGAGGTCATGAGTGACCCATATGACCCCCCTCCTTTGTATCCGCCACTGGGATCTGATCACAACCCCCAGAAATAAGTAATCGTATAATCATCAGTTGCTTCCCTTGTATTCAACATACAAGAAAATTTACAACACTTTTGCCGGCTGGGTCATTTATGACCCAATGATATTTATCGAGGAAAAAAAGTTATCCGATGGCGACAAGAAGGGCAAAAATATACATCATGCCTTTTTCAGACAAACTCAAATGCCAGGTGGACGATCATTCAACAGATAGTAAGGTGCAAACATAATATAATATTACTTTTTGGGGCGGCGTGCCATTGCCAGTGACCGGCGACTGTGCAGTCCCGTCGTCTTTGGCTCCAGAAACTTCAGTGGACGAGCTCACACAAGTTTTATGCGGCTCCGACGCTCGCCACTGAACCCACAAATCCAACAAAACACACGCACAAGTTCCTCAAAGTGCCACTTGCCTCCATTGAGAAAAATCGTTAAGGTTTTGCTTTTGGGTCATATATGACCCAAGCGGCATTATTAATGGGAATCGAAGCGACGGTTGGCGGAGACAAACAACAATAAGCAATTAACGAGAAGCAATGAACGAAACACACACATTACATTAGTGCGAACAGGAGAAAAATAATGTGTGTCTGCCCAAAGTCGGTACACACGGCGCGGCTAATTCGGCGCAAATCGAGCGTCAGTGATTACACAAACACACCCACACTCCAGCGGTGCGTATTTACACAGTGGCGAGAGCGGCAGCTTCCGGCTGCAGCCACAGCAGGTGACACGGCGAGGGGGCGGCCGGTTGGCCCGGCCCCACTCCCGTCTAATACCCATTGAGCTGGGGCCACTCGACCCACGCGTCCTCCCACTCGCCTGTCACCCGCTCGCTGCAGGTCGCCGCCACCCGAGCGGTCAGTTACTTTCTGAGAAGGTCGTACCCCGGCCTCCCTCCCTCCCTCCCCGTTCTCCGTCGGAGTGGCAGCGGCCGGCGGGCGACGGGTCCTCCCAAATTTGTCACCAGGCCGCCGAGGCGTCAGAGCGCGGCCGGGGGTAGAGCCGCACGCGGCCGTACCGGGCGCCGCTCAGACTCTGCGGCTCGGGCGGCGCCGCCGGCAGCTCGGGCCGCTCCAGCATGCGGACCAGGTCACGCAGGTTGTGGTCGGCCGGACGGCCGGCCGGCCGGCTCTGCACCAGCTCAGTGAGCGCCGGCGTGGCGAACTGACGCTGGTGCTCGCCCGGCCCGTTGACCACGGTGCCGAAGGTGGGCTGCGGCCGGTGGCGCGGCGCGCCGTACAGCGGGTTGTGGCGCAGCGTGTCGTGCACGCGGCCCAGCAGGTACGGCTCCTGGTAGCGGGGCACGGCGTTTGTGCGCACTGCGTTCCGGTGCTGTCGCTTGGAGAGCTTCCACATGGCTCTCAGCTGCTCGCAGCTGGGCTCGCGCGGCGCATACGAGTTGTACGGCACGAACTGGTTGCGCTCGCGCTGGCGTTTCTCGGGCGGCGGCTGCGACTGGTCGGTGTCGTGCTGGGTGCGCGCGGCCGACAGCAGGGTGGCCAGCAGCAGCAGCAGGGCGCTGAGAGGCAGGCGGAGCCCCATCACCGACGGTGGCTGGCCAGGGGCTAGGGGAGAGTGGGGTGGGTTGTATCAGTTTTTTACTCCGAGACCCATAACCTCGTAACTATCCGTGATAAACTCATTATTTCCATACTATCTCCTTCCTTGATTCTTCTGCTTTTTTGTGCAAAGTAACTTTTCCGCTACCTCTACCAGTTTTTCTTCTACGGTCTGCCGAATAGAACAATATTTTTGATACAACTTGCCCCATGGCTTGGGTGAATTGTATCACATGGTGGGGTAATTTGTATCACTATTTCACGTTTCAGGGAGTGTGCTTGCTACTGGTTTTGAACATAACAACAACATTAAATGGGGTTAATACAATGTATATGCTCAAAGGCTTCACTTTTATTAGACCAAACTTAGGTCAATCCGAACGAAACATCGAAACGAACGAAACATCAACAGACTAAACGCAAAAGTGGCCCGTTAAGAGCAAAGAAGCAAACACATTGTGCCGAAATGAACGAGTATTGACTAGCTACCTACAAACGCGAGCCAAGGCTTAGCTTTCGCGATCAAAAGCGACATACCCATACATACATACATACGTACATACATACATGTTACAACATACCCCACCCGGCTCTGATACAACATGTACCACGCCGCCATCTTGGGAAAAAACATCCTCGTGCTCAAAAACAGCGGACAGCTGGATAAATCCATTTTCACTCACGCAGCCTTAGAACCTACCCTCACCACCGCTACGGAGATCTTTCAAATTCGTGCACATCTAAATGCCCAAAACACACATTTTCTTGCAACTTACTTTTTTAGAATGACATTAAAAAAACATAAAATCGGCTCTCACCTCGAGACGCGTCCATCCAGCCACACGACAGAACAGGGAAATATGGCGCCCGGAAAACCTCGTCGGCTGGTCGTGTCACGAGCGCCATCTATTGGATAAGTTTGGCACAATTCGCCCTGATACAACTTGGACATGATACAACTCTCCCCGCTCTCCCCTACCAGCAGCAGCGGCGACAGCAGCTGGGCCGCCCCGGCCCAGCTGCTGGGCCCAGTGAATTGAAACGTTACACTTAAGCTGAAAGCACGGCGCAATCGTGTTCAAGTTCTCAGGATGAAGCTTAGCCACTGTGTGCGTTAAAGTGACCAAGCCACCTTAACCCTCACCGGCACAGGGGCCACCCCGGAAAGCCCCATAGCAGCCACACTTTACGACTTTCTAACAGGTCCCGATTTTCCCGGTTTTCGGGTCATTGACCTGACCTAGAGGTCACCCGATGACCTAGGACCTTAAAATTGGATATCATCGGCTTCCTCTCGTGACGGGCAATACGCTCGTTTTTCCGCGAAGCTCTAGCTCGATCAGGGGCCAAACGCGAGGGTGGGGGTCGTACCCCCCCCCTTTTGTGCCGTCGAAGGACGCAAAATGGCCTGTGCCGGCGAGGCCTAACATTAGTGTTGAGTTGAGATAGCCAAAATGGGGTCCCTGGCTTGCATTTACCGGTTTGAACACTCATAACCCGCGCGGGACTGGGGGGGTAAATTTTACCCCCCCCCCCCCCCTCGCGAATTTTTGCAATATTTCAAAAACGGCCGCCAAACTTTCAGTACCTTTTCTTACATCAATTTGACACGTTCCATGAAAATTTGGGCGAAATCCTTCGGAAATGTTTTGAGAAAATGACGTTTTGGTGACGTCATGTTCGCCATTTTCGCCTCAAAAACGGCAAAATTTCAAACGCCGCTAACATCTTCATTTTTTAAGGGAATCAAGACGTAACAAAAAAGGTTATACGTAATTCTACCTTGTCTATCAAATGGCTATCTCGGTTTTTTTTTGAAAATTTTAGATTTTGGCCCAAATTTTTCCAAAAAACTGACTTTTTGGAAAAATAATTATAAAACCCAAAAATTTGAGTGTATCGAAAAAACCGGAATATATGTCAGAGAAGTGGTCAATGTGCACCTACATATCAATTTTCAAAAAAAAAAAATCAGTTCAAAAATGTGGGAGTTATTTCAAATTTTATGATGTCACGACACACAATTTAAAAAAAAAAATGATTTTTTGGAAGTTCTAGACCTTTTACAGAAACAAAAATAGCACCATTCGATTCGCCGTGAAAAACTACATTAGATAGACACCTTTTTAGGCCTTAACAACCAACTTCAAAATTTGACCTCACTTGACCTGACCTTGACCTGACCTTGACCTGAAACTCATCCAGAAGTGGTCCATATCACTTATTGAGTGTGCCTATTGAATTCTATGAGTAAAATGACCCATAAAACATGTGTCGCACATGCCCTTTTCTATATTTTGTTTTTGGTGACCTGATCTGACCTGACCTGACCTTGACCTTGACCTCTGAATGATATTGTATGCAACGAATATTGTCTTGGTAGCCTAAGAACACGTTTTGGGCAATCAGTCTCAGTCCATGACTCCATTCTTCGGCAACTACGGTGCAAGGTCGATACTGTAGAAACTTGCAATTTGTACCCTTGACCTGACCTTGACCTTGACCTCAAACTTTAAATTAAATACATGTTTTTAGTTGTTCGTGATGAGATCTTTCGATTGGCGTTTGAATTTTCCAAATCGGACCATTAGTTCGGAAGATAACAGGGGGGGGGGTAAAATTTACACCCATCCCCCCAGCCCCGCGCGTTCGGCTGGAGACCACAGCCCCGCGCGGGCTATAAGATCGAGAAATGTCTCAAATCGAAAGTATCTACTTTCAAAGTTGCAGCACTTGGATTCAGAGGGGCTAATGCATTACAATGCCCCATCTGAATGTGTGACGTCAGCGCAGATCTAATGATTTTAAATCTTTTACTAAAACGTCTCGTAGCACGCGATGGTATATGCTGCTTTGCACACAAGTGCCGCACTTTCAAATAAAGTCGCTAGGAACAGCAGAGATCCCAAAAAGTAAACAAAAGTAAAAGTCCTATATCATGAAAACCGGTGAATATTTTTCGATGAAATTTGGTAGATATTCATTTTCACTCTTTCTGAACCCAGCGACATCACTTTCATGCCAATTCATTAACTTGTTGAAGGTGGGAGGGTCCCTTTAACCACTGGTAGCTGGATATCGCTATAGCCATAGAGCATGCTTCCCGTTTCCGACGGAACAAAATGTCTTTAGCATTCATTGGACAGTCATGGTACTGTCCGAACTCCGTCGCAATAGGTGAGACCTTGTGAGCATCTAACACCTTCGAACATTGCTGACTCGGCGTGTTTTACTCCTGGCTTCAGCAGTTGAGCGTTTTTTTTTTTGTGAATCGCACCATCACGACTCCCACGCCGCGAAACAATCGTCCAACTGCCTGCAACCTGAGCCACTCACCGGTAATCGCTTTCTGGTCTACATCGCATTCCTGCTGTATTTAGGAGCACTCACCGAGTTTGAATGGATCTCAACTATTCTCATAAACGCTAGACATTTGGGGTTGAATAGCAGAGCGATACACTTCGTAAAGTTCGTTGGATCTAAGAAGTTATGCTAGTAATAAATGCTTATAATTTCACCCTTCATTGTGTGTGGATGAGTTTTGCTGTTTTGTGGTCGTCAGTTATTCTACAAAATTATGTAGGTACAACATAACAGCAGCTAGGGCTGACATATTTGATCGTAATAACAAAATTAGACGAGACGTTTATCAAATTTTCGGCAATTGTTCGTTCTCAGCTTATTCCATTTTCTCTGAACAAAATACTAACTAAAGTTAACCCGCGCGGGGCTGGGGTCTCCAGCCGAACGCGCGGGGCTGGGGGGGGGTAAATTTTACCCCCCCCCCCCTGTTATCTCCCGAACTAATGGTCCGATTTGGAAAATTCAAACGCCAATCGAAAGATCTCATCACCAACAACTAAAAACATGTACTTAATTTTAAGTTTGTGGTCAAGGTCAAGGTCAGGTCAAGGGTACAAATTGCAAGTTCCTACAGTATCGGCCTTGCACCGTAGTTGCCGAATAATGGAGTCATGGACTGAGACTGATCGCCCAAAACGTGTTCTTAGGCTACCAAGACAATATTCGTTGCATACAATATCATTCAGAGGTCAAGGTCAAGGTCAGGTCAGGTCAGATCAGGTCACCAAAAACAAAATATAGAAAAGGGCATGTGCGACACATGTTTTATGGGTCATTTTACTTATAGAATTCAATAGGCACACTCAATAAGTGATATGGACCACTTCTGGATGAATTTCAGGTCGAGGTCAGGTCAAGGTCAGGTCAAGTGAGGTCAAATTTTGAAGTTGGTTGTTAAGGCCTAAAAAGGTGTCTATCTGATGCAGTTTTTCACGGCGAATCGAATGGAGCTATTTTTGTTTCCGTACGAGGTCTAGAACGTCCAAAAAAGTCATTTTTCAAAAATTTTGTGTGTCGTGACGTCATACAATTTTGAATAACTCCCACATTTTTGAACCGATTCTTCTAAAACTTGGTATGTAGGTGCACATAGACCACTTCTCTGACATATATTCCGGTTTTTTCGATACACTCAAAATTTTGGATTTTATAGTTATTTTCCCAAAAAAGTCAGTTTTTTGAAAAAATTGGGCCAAAATCCAAAATTTTCAAAAAACCGAGATAGCCATTTGATAGACAAAGTACAATTACGTATATCCTTTTTTGTTACGTCTTGATTCCTTTAAAAATGAAGATGTTAGCGGCGTTTGAACTTTTGCCGTTTTTGAGGCGAAAATGGCGAACATGACGTCACCAAAACGTCAATTTCTCAAAAAATTTCCGACGGATTTCGCTCAAATTTTCAGAGAACGTGTCAAATTGATGTAAGAAAAGGTACTGAAAGTTTGGCGGCGCTGCGCGCCGCCGTTTTTGAGATATTGCAAATATTCGCGAGGGGGGGTAAAATTTACCCCCCCCAGCCCCGCGCGGGTTAAATCAGATGTCTAGAGATGCATCATATCAGATAAATAGAGAGGCCAAGAGAACGAAGAGGGAGATAAAGAAGAAAGGAGAAATGAAAGAGTCAGACAAAGAGAGAGACA